AGTACTGTCCAAGTAGCATGGCCTTGCTCTGCTGAATTCTGCTGGAGCTGCTGGTTTGGAAATGGCCTGTAAATATTAAAATGGTAGGAATGAAAAAATCTGCTTTGCCACTGTTTATATCGCATGAGAAAGCGAGTACCTCTGAGTATTACAGCCAGGAAGGGAGGCTGAATGCAGGTCCCTCTGACAGACTTGCTCAGGAGAAGTAGCTACTGAACCTTTACCTCTGTTTGCCTCAGATTTTAGGATTGCTTTCAAAATGTTGAGGTACCTATTGCTGGGACTGTGCTGAGCTCTCTGTTGGCCTTTTCTGTGCTGGTTAACAGGTGCAGATTTCCTCTTAGGTTTGCATTATACTTAATTTTTTTGCTTAAGTTACATTTTGCCTTTTACCTTAAAGCAGAAATACATTTTCTAAGTTTAGAATTCACTGTTGCTTTCTTGTGTATATCAGCAAAACTTACTATCATTTTGGGAACTCAAGAGCTTATGAAAGGAGGTTTAATTTTCTTTTAAACTAGAGATTGCTTTCCTTGAAAAGAAAATACTCTATTTTACTCACTTCTTTCCTCTCTCCTTACTGCAAACCCATGTCCCTTCTCATCCTGTCTTTGAGCTGTGACTACAGAACAGATTGTGTCCTTCTGCACTGTAAGGTGTTGTCAAAGGAAATGAAAAGTGTTTGGTTACAGCTAAAATTTTTCTTTAATCCGTCCGTATTGCTTTCCTCTTCACAATACCTTGAAATGGAATGAGGAGGAGAGTGGCTCTTTTTGCTGGGGTGGCAGAAGCAGGAGTGAAAAAGCTGCATTTTTAAGAAATATGGGAATGGCAAGTTTTTTAAGAAAACTGTAACACACCTGATGTGTGTTCATGTCTGTAAATACTAGAGAGCACTTGGCTTTCACCTCCTTAAGGTCACCCCGTGGTGCAGATGGAGGAACAGGTTAGGCTGTATGTTTTAAAATGAGTTTTGCTGGTGGGAGTTAATTGTCCTTACAGTTCTCTCGAGTTATTTTTGGATTATAAAAGGGGAGTGCAGTGCAAGTTTCCCTGCTTTTATCGTTCAGTTGGGAGAATGGTGAGCAGTCCCATCTTGTGTTTATGATGCAGTAATAAATCCTGAAGTCATTGACACTTCTCTAGAACGTGAGTGATGTGTCCATATCTCAAGATGTTTCTTCTGTTGGTTGCAGAGAAGAAGCAGCTGGGGAAAACACTCTGTTTTCTACTCAGTGGTTTGAGGGTTAAAAGAACAAGTTGAGTCTTGTCCTCTCAGTAGGAAGAAGACAATAAAAACCCAGAGAAAGCTTAGCACTTGGATTAAAATGCTTTCTTTGAATTTTAACCTTTCTGAGAGGTTTGGGTGGAAATGACTTGCTGCTGGAAAAGTTTGAAACTAGAATGGGATACTTTGTAGAGAAAACAGGCAATTAAATGTTCTTGTTTGGACAGACCGTGTGCAAGGTACGGAGTTTGTAGGCATGGATGGTGTGCCAAATATTGAAGAACTTGGGAAAACAAAAGTTTGATGTTTATGTACTGAGAGGTTCTGATGCTCAAAGCCAGTGTTTTGAATGAATAGTTGACTGTAGGGATTTTGGGAAAGGAAGGAGAGACTTCTTGGACACAAGGAAGAAATTCTTTACAGTGAGAGTGGTGAGACACTGACCCAGGTTGCTCAGAGAAGCTGTGGATGCCCCGTCATTGGAAGCGTTCAAGGTCAGGTTGGATGAGGCTTTGAGCAACCTGAAAGATGCTCAAAAGATGTCCATGCCTGTGGTGGGAGGGGTGATTAGCTGGTCTTTGAAGGTCCCTTCCAACTCAAATCATTCTGTGAGTCAACTCTGCATCTGTAATGAATACTGCAAAGCAGGGTGGGTGCAAGTCCCGTGTGTCCCTGACACTTTTTGTGCAGCTGTGTCACCTACCCTAGGGACTGCCTGGGTACCGGAGTCTGTACATCCAGGGAGGGTTGAAGTGCACGTGCCTTTGAAGGACTTCGGAATACGCTGCATTGTGCTCGGGCGTGGAAGGTGAATGTGCTCCTCTCATCCTTGGTGTGAAAACTAATCTGAAGACTTTTGCTTTTGAATCAGTAGGAGGAAGGCTGTTGTGCACTGGAAGAGGAGGTTGGGGTGGGGAAGTTATACAGGTGTGTACTTTCAGTAAAAGAAAAACTGCAGTTTAATTGAGCAACATTCACCCAGGCAGGGTCTCCAGCTCGTTGATGATGGAAATATCTTCAGTTTAGAGGGAGATTTTATTATATAAGTATTTAAATCTGCTACATGAAATAGAATTGTAGAATCATTAAGGTTGGAAAAGACCTGAAAGGAGGGTGGAGAGAGGTGGGGGTGGGTCTGTTCAACCAAGGAGCAAGGGACAGGACAAGAGGAAATGGGCTCCAGTTGTGGCCAGGGCAGTTGAGATGGGATGTGAGGAAGAATTTCTTTGCTGAAAGGGTTCTGAGGCATTGGAAGGGGTTGCCCAAGGCAGTGGTGGAGTCCCCATCCCTGGAGGGATTGAAGAGTGGTGTAGACATAGTGCTGAGGGACATGGGTTAGTGGGGGACTTGTCAGTGTTGGGTTCATGGTTGGACTCAGTGATCTTAAAGGGCTTTTCCAATCCAGGCAATTCTGGGATTCTGTGTGATAAGTTTTGTTCAGTGCTGCAGCAGCAAACAGCACAGGCACACACACACGGTGTCTCCAGCCTTGTAGGAGGACCTTGGCTGTTTCAGAAATGGTGACCTCTGTGCTGGAGCTCCTGGTGTGCCTGGCACAAGGGGAGCGTTACTGGCCCATATCATCCTAAAATTTGACCTGTTACATGTTAGTTTGAGGTGTTGATTCAACCTCTGTAGGTGAGGATTGCTTTGGTTTACATTCCTCTGTGCCCGTACAGACAATATGAAGGTGTATGCAGAAATGTTTCTCTTCAGCTGGAAAATACCCTCGTTTCAGCTCTTCCTCAGGTCAGCAGCATCGCGCCGAGGAGCTGGGAGGATGTTTCTGCTGCTGCACGTCTGTGTACAGCTCGAGGTTGGAGTGAGGGCCCCTGAAGCAGCGGTGCCCAGGCACTGTCCCTGCTCTCCATCTTGTGCTTGTACAAGCTTTTTTTCCCCCCAAAGGGATCACATTTATTTATTTATTTTCCCTTGTCAACCACTGCCACGTTTAAGTCATGGATTGATCTTGGTCTCTATTGATCTCAGCACAAAAGCAGGATAACTTGTAGTCAACAGCAACTTTGAGTGTTAGTTAAATAGCTGAATGTAATTCCTCTTATCTGTGGTGGTTTGCTGTGGGTTGTGGTGGTGGATTTTTTTGGGGGGGGGATTGTTTTTTTTAGGTGGTTTTTTATTTAATTTTATTTTATTTGGGAGGAATTCTGCTTTTCAGATGTCAGGTAAAATTGATGTTGCTTTCCTTATAGTATTTTGTCTTCTATGTAATCTATCCAGTTATCCAAATCTGAATCTCGGGTTTAATCTCATATGTACAGACCTGCTTTGTGATACATTTCTGAGTAAACACATCTTGCCTTTTAACTACTTTTCCTTAAGTTAAAAAGTACATGGTGAGCACAACTTTTCTGATTTGTCTGTCTTAAGCCAGAATTCACTGCAAGCTGGGAGCTCTTAAATCATTTCTGCTGCCTTCATCTTCATCCAGCAGCATACTTTGTTATACTGTAGCCTTAAATTTGCAGGTCTGCTGACAGAGTACAGAGTTATCAACACTCCTAAATACAGGAGACCTCGTCTAATCTGATGATTCTTGTTTGTTCATGATAATTTCAAACAGATGCGAGTACTTGTGAGTCTTCCAATTCCTTTAGTTTTATTCCAACTTCAGCAGGCAAGGCTCATTTATTTTGTTAATTTGCTATGGATGTGCTGTTGTTTCCTCTCTGAATTACATACATCTCATTCAGCCAGAAGATTTAATTTGAAGATTGTATGCTTGACATCTAAGGCACTTAAGCAGGGCTTGAAATTCCCCTTGCCATATGTAGATGCTGCGTGGCAGGTGTTTCCTGGGTGAAGCTGGTATATTCAAAATACATCTGCTAAATAGGGCACACTGTTCTTTCTGCCATCTCCTGAACTTCAGAACGATCTTCCTTGGATTCATTCAAGCCGAGGATGACTTTCCATCTCGTTCTCAGTAAGTACATAACCTTTTGCTTTTCATCCGGTAGGAACAATACATCCGTGGCAGGTGCATTGGCCCAGAACTGCTGGCTCTTATTAACGTTTACAAATAACCTTCATAGCCTGGATCGTCCTCAGCAGTCATTAAACAAGCGAGAAGTGAGAGCTCTTGGCACCTCTTGAGCTATTCTGTCTCTGCCAGCGTCAGAACCTCAGTACTTTGAAGGCAAGAAGTTGTGCTGGAAGTGCTGGGTGGTTTTAGAGGTATCCTCCCAGCTCAGGTGGAAATCAGGAAAATATTTTGATCAGAATGGGTTTTTTTGGGTTTTTTTTTTTTCTGCTACTATTTTTCTTGCAAGTAGCTCTTGTGCTGAGAGGCTGGAGAATGTAAATTGGATGTGTGTGCTTACGTGTGTGGGGTTCATAAAGCGTTTAAGAATGTAAGAGGATTGTGGAGATTGAATTGTTATCTCAGTTGCTGTATGGCTTTCACCCTAGGAGTATAAAAATATTTTGATTATAAAGCATGTATCAGTTTGTGTTTAATGATTGATTCATGTTAAGAAGGGAGACGCTTATGGTTTATGTTTGCATTTTATACTTATTTTAATCATGCTTTGTTTTTTTGTTCTTTTTGTTTTGTTTTGTTGTTTTTTTTAATTGCAGCAGCTGTTGCCGGGTAAAAAGTTTTGGGAATCTGATGATTCCAGCAAAGATGGACCAAAAGGGATATTTCTGGGAGATCAGTGGAGAGACAGTGCTTGGGGAACATCAGGTAGCTCAATTATTTACTTAATTTAGTTGGAGTTGAATACAGAAATGTGCAACTCATCTACTTAAAATTGCTGGCCAGTCTGGATGGCACAGCTTTTAAAAGATTTTTAAAAACCATCTGTTTTACATGATAGAAAACTAATAGAAAAACCCCCATTGCTTTGTGATAGAATTAAAAGATACCCATAGTAATAAAAAGATTGTCTAATGTGAACATGTGTACCCTTATGTTTATCTGCTTAAAAATTGTTAGATTGCCATTAAAATTTCAATCTAAACTTTCTGATGTGTTTTTTGCCTTGGGATGAATTACAAGAAGTTTGAACAAAAATATTACGGAACAAGATTAGTTAAAAAAACCAAACAAATAAGCCCACAATTTTTTAAATACTAAACCAACCAACCAAAACCCAACAACATTCAGTTTAAAAAAGTTAAAGAAAAAAAAAAAGTGATGTTTTAAATTAGAAGTGTTGACGTTTATGTGCCAAGAATTTTGTTCTTGGATCAGAGACTGTCCCTTATTTTAAATTTAAAGGGAGAGTGTTCAGGTTGGTTTTAGTTAAATGGCAAAAAAATCACGTGCATGTGCTGAATTTGAAATGCTAACCTTTTACTTCTTATTTTCTGTGCTTTCTCTATGTAATGAAAATGCTCCTTAAACACTGCTGAGTATCTCGTGCAGTTTCCAAACAACTACACAGAACTGCAGCTCCAGGGGAGACGTGATTTAGAGAAACTTCATTGTCGTGTGGGGGTTTTTTC